AAAAAAAAAAAAAAAAAAAAAGATGAGGTCAGGTCCATTTACCTGAATGGATAGTGAAGTTTCTCCTGGGATTTAAAACGTTCCCCTCATCCTGATCCCGTTCCGTTTCCAAGCGTTCCCCGTCCATTCGTCAGCCCGTCAACCCTTAGTTTCATCCCTTCCGTCTGTCATTGAGCCAATCAACGTCCGAGCGATGGCCCTATAGTCTTTTCCCGTCTTCCCTCTTGACTCACCCTTACTTTTTCTGCTTTGAGAACTCACCACCCCCCTGTCCCTCTGCACACCCCCCCTGCCACCCTCGTGGCTAAGGGCTCCACGTATGGAGGGATGGGCCCCACCAATTGACCCTCGGCCCAATTCGCGTACCCCCGGATTTATCCTGGCAAATACCAATTCGCTCGACTTCATCCCTCTGCCGAAACTTCACCCCCCTCCCCCATTATCCATTTACTTTTTCCTCCCCAGACTCGATTTTCGTCATACACGACCCCACCGGTGCAGCTGCCATTACTGAAAACGATTTTTCCCTTCTCCTTGCAATTCAGAATTTCATCCCCCCTCCAACCCCTCTTCCCCATACATTACCTCGATAAACATTTTCTACTCGCTCGTGCAGACAAAATCGATAAATAAACTAGGGAGCCCCCCTCTTATCGAATCCCCATAGAACGTGCCGGGTGCAACGATATAAGTCCACGGCTGACTTAATTCCCGTGACAGTAATGCATTTCGTAGGAGCTTGTAAACACTGTGTCGCGTCTACGGTGAACCGCGTTACTACCCTCCCCCCCCGAGCCCCCCTAAAAATAGCCATTGTTATTATCAGCCACGGTACAAAGAACCCACGTGTATATGCATAGGAGTATGGGAATAACTTTGAAATTCGGTGTAACCCATAAGTCGCGTCTACGTGACGAACCACAGGAAAAATGTCCAACGGACGTAAGAGAAGTGCAGGTCTTGGGCGAATGAATTCGGCATAAAACGGATATTTCCTCGTAAGCGAAGGACAGGGTAAAATTTAACGAACGCTTTACAAACACAGAAATATCCGAAGTACCGGGAAACGGATTAAGGAACGAGGAATAATAATAAAAAGATCCGATTCGAGTCTGAGGGACGGTTAAAAAAAGGAAGGAAAAAAAAAAGGTGGTCGAGACTGCACGTGGTCTCCCTTATACCTGCTCCGTACTTTTCCACTGATTATTTGTACACGTGTTCCGGCCGACGGGTACGCTCTCGTTCGAGCAGCTCGAGGGGGGGAATTAATATTACATTCAGCCCTCCCGTCAAAGACAAAATTTTTACCCAAAAACCCATCCTTCCCAAAATCCATCCACGGACTCCTCCTGTATCCAGATTGTATATACAAGGTGGATACGCAAAACCCCGATCGGCAGTACAGAGGAGTCGATATGTAAATACAGGATATACATAGCTATACTAAAGCCCTTGAGCATAGGGAATATACGTCGGCGAGTTAACCCCCAATTATTTACTAGCCACTGACGGAGACGCCCGACCCCCTTTGCCTCTGTTAAATGTCAATAAACACAAACCACCGGACCAACCCCTGAATTCGGGAGCTTACGCGTTTAATCGAACACTTTTGCTCCACGGGGGGTGAGAGTCAGCGGGGGGGGA